CCATGATTAGCAGAAGGCTAATTGACAACAAGCTACGCAGACTACAGAACCTTGCTTGCTTAAAGTGAAGAAGATTTGAAGCACCCATTGATAAATATAAGAATATACATTCTTCGGTATGGCTTACACCTCAACATTACACCTCAACAAAATTGGTAACTATAAGTAATAGCATGATAAACAGATAAAAGATAGACGTTATCAAGGATTTCATTTTACTTGGGTCCACAATCAATGCTCATAGAAGCAGCCGTCAAGAAACCAAAGGAGGTTTAGCTGCTGCACATGGCTTATTTCAAGTATTGAAGAGCAAATAGGTCACTTTGAGGACTAAAATGCATCCAACCCAAACCATGCTTTTTCAATCTACTTGTAGGCATAAGAAAAATAGACAGTCAATAAAGAAGATAGCAGAAGGACTGATGCCTTAGAATTCAGATATTGGTGCAGACTACTAAAAGGACCATGGACTGCCAGAAGAACAAAACAAATCTGTCTTTGTCAGAAGTACGGCCAGAATGCTCTTAGAAGAGACAACTTTGCCTCGTGTCCTTTGGTTTTCTCCTTTCTCAGGAGAAACCAGTCCCTACAAAAGCACTTCTTGCTTGGTAAAGTAGAGCGTCATCTAAAAAGAGATGGGTCCTTGTCAAGATGGATTGATGCCATCGTTGTAACCATGGGCTCAAGTATTATAGCAATTGTGAGTTTGGCAAAGGACCAGTCAGTATTTCATTCTGTTGTATACAGGCTTGCTATGAATCTGTGTTGACTGGACCACACCTAAAAGCATGTCACCAAAGAACACAGAATGAGCCTTAGGTATTTTGTGTATCACCAAAATCAACTGATATGTCATCTATGACATCGAATGCCATCTGATGTTTGCTGGTGTGTGAGCTGATTGACCATAGGATCCAGGAAGAAATTCTAGTACCAAAATAATGAATAATGTGCACTACTTCAGATATGGTGTTGAAACTTTGTCAATAATACTGAGTAGTAGAAATGTTATCTTCTGACTTGAAATGGAAGCAAGCATATATGAACAGAGTAGATAAAGGCCCTGGTTATCTTAATTTTTATTGATTTTAAATAACCACTTGTGTCTGATTCTCTTTCTTAACTTCACAAAATTATTTTCAATCTAAGTGCTTTTAAAATATTGATTGAAGACTCTTACACAGGTAATACATGAAGATCAGCTTGTTCTTTCTTCAATATTAACCGTCACATTTTCTCTTAAAGGCAGAAATGAACCGTTTCCAAGATACAAAGAGACTCCTTCAAGACTATTACAGAGCAATGGAAAACAAAATGCCAATAGAAGACAATAAGAAGTTCACTCGAGTCCCATTGGTCCAACTGGACAATAAAGACATTTCAGAAAGCCAAGTTAAGTAAGCTATCATACTCCATTTTAATTGCTATGAACATAAAGTTTATGATTTTAAAATCGAATGTCACTGATAAAACTCATATAGAAAAATCCAATAAATCTCTAAAAAGTTTTATAAAATGTAAGTTCAATGTAGGTGTATCTGATTTACAGTGAACATTTACCCAATTTCCTACAGAGACATAAAATAGTTTATTGTTGAGTGCTTTCACAGGATCCTCTAAAGATAATAGGCAATAGATGGTATTTATAAATCTTGAATGTGCAAATATTTTTGGTTCCAAGTATTTTTGGTAAAGATCTATAAGCTTATATCAGTTTTATGAAAGATTTCAAGCAGCTCTTTGTAGCTTAGTATGTGCGTGTGGCTATAGACGTGTATATATATCACATTACATAAATGAAATTGGAGAGATATGAGTCTTCTTTTACAAGTGAGGAAATTGAGATTCCATAAAGACCGAGTCATGTGATTTTATGACTTTATGAAGCCCAAGTATTACTATTTTATTACCAGCATTAATATGAATGTCTTAGCAGAAAAATCCTGGTAGAAAGAAAATGCCATTGATGGTGAGAATAAAAGAAAAATTACAGTTTCAGGCAAACAGCCCTGTCCAGTGTCAAAGTGTGCGGATAACTTCTCTCATAGACACAGGAGCGGAGAGTGAGGGAAGAACACTGAGGTGCCGCCAACAATACAGAAACATCTGTAAGTCACGGAGAGCGAGCTGGGGGTGCACTGGAGCTGATGGTAATCCAATGTGGTTTCCCACTATGAAGCATTAAAAAGAGAGCTAGAATATAAGAATTGAGATAATAAATATTTTAAATTTAATAAATGCATTAAAAATAAGTAATATTAAGCAATAAATTAATTAATACAATTAAGAATTAAAATATTCTCTCATTATCAGTAAGCAGCCATGAAGAAACAAGAAAGTATAGCTATGAAGAGGGGGGACAGGAAGAAATTAGATTTTTTAATTAATAAGTAAAGCACTGACTATGAATTTTATATTTCTAAAGAGAGAAGCTGTGTTTTGTATTAGAAGTTGTGCCCATTTTATAATTTTGCTCAGTCCATTCAGGCAAGAAATAGGTGAGAAAGTAGCAAGCATGTTTTGAGGACAGATAAGCCAGGACGCACCCTGGGTCTATTATTTACAAGCAATCTGTAAGTGAATTAAGACTATTTTTCTGTTTAGCAAATCACTTAAGTCTCTTAAGCCATAGTTTCCTTATCTGAACATTAGACTTGCTCTTCAGTAGAGAAAATAAAACCCTCGAATAATCAGAAGACATGAGATCAAGTCTCCACACTCTACAATCGGCTGGTATTATTATTGTTGTTGTAGGAGCCCTTGGAAGCGGAGGCTAGGCATTGGGCCATTATCCATACGGTCAGTAGTTTGAGCCCCACAAGATGCTCCAAGGGAGAAGGAGAACGCTGTTTGCTCCCTTGTTGTTCTGGCCACTCAGACCACTAGTTAGGTTTAAGGGCTACAGAATCTGGAGGAATATTTTTTTTAATTTTTAAAGAAAAACACTGTGTCTATTTACACAGTCCATGTCAAGAAATGAAATCAACAACAATATCCTGTTAAACCTCCATTTTGTGGTTCTCTTCCTTCCCTGCCTTCTGTCCTCCCTCCTCCATATCCCTTCCCTCTCCCTGTGCCAACCCTGTCCCTGGTCTCTCTGGTAGTCATCAAAGTCTTGTCTTTGGGTGTGTAAATTATGCTTCATTTTCTTTGTTTTTCCTTATAATAATGGTGTTATTAAATATTTATCTTTGCAAGATCAACTGATAATGCTTTCTAGCTTTATCCACGTCTTGTATTGTTTAAGAGAGTTGCATTGTTTTTTTAATTGATGCATGATATTCCATCGGATGCATGTGCCAGAGTTTGTTTATTCATTCCTCTATAATAGGGCTTTTTGTTTGCTCCCACAAAAAGGGAGGAAAAATAAAACAGAAGTCTTTAGTGACAAACAAGTGAACCATTTTCAAACAACTCCAAAAGGCTTTCTACTCCCATAATGTTTGACAGTCTTGGAAATTTTTAACAAGCAGTTCTGTTCTGCTCTAATATATTCTGCTCTATCAGGTATCTATGCGTCAGAATGAACTTGAGGGCAGTGAGTTTTTGTTGTCGTTGTTGTTCTTATTATAAGCTCCCTAGATAGTTCTATCCGGTCCCAGAAATAGACACAGCCTCACAAACCATTTGTAGGGTGGTCATGAGTTGGAATTGACTTGATGACAGTAGATTTAGATGGCCCAAATGGTTTTTGCTAGATTGTGCAAATGCCAAGACCTCTTGGAAGGAAATCTCCAGGCCTGTCTTCTAAGGCACCTCCGAATGTGTTCAACCTGCCAACCTTTTGTCTAGTAGCTACGAATCTGGTGCGACTATGGTACCCTAGAAGTCGGGGACTGGGAATTAACTTCTGTTAAGATTACAGCCAAGAAAACCCTAGAACCCGAGAAGTTCTGCTCTGTGACACATGGGGTTACTCTGAGTTGCAATCAACTTAACGAAAACTAAAATTATCTATCATATTTTTATTATAGCACAATCTAATAAGCTATTCTTATTTTATGTAATATTTGAATTATGAGTATTGCATGCTTCTGCTTTATCTTACCCTTCCTTATTTTAAAAAGGGATTTGAGATGGCCTCTCCCCCCAAGTTCCATTATGCTCCTTTTAGAGCCTTGTATGTAGGCAAGAAGACACAAGAGTGAAAAGGCACACCCTCTTGGAAGAAGAAGGAAAGGAGAAAAAAAAAGAAGAAGAAGAAAGAGAGAAAACCACAAGAGACATGTTTAACTCAGTAAGCTACTGGAAGAAAACTTTTTTAAAAACCACTTAATTCCAAAGGCAATATGAGCAATATATCCATGAAAAGAGGCCAACTTGCAATGTCTAGCATAGCAGAGCATTCTGTCCTTAGTAAATAATAGCAAGACAGGCACAATGGCAAAGCTATTAGTGTGGGTTAGAATGAAGTGGACAAAAGAACAGCTAGTTCTTACTTTCTGCAAAAAACACTCTGTGCCCATCTCAACCTCAAATCACTGTTGTGGTGTCATCAGTCAAATGATCTCCCAACCAATCCATCTACCACAGTCTCTTTAACATATAGAGGGAAATAAGCAGTATGTTAAACATTGTTATATGTCTTATCTATTTTTATTTCTCCCAACAATCCTATATCATTTCATCTTCATCATCATTTTCATTATCCCTATTACTATATTTGTATTATGCCAGGAGGAACTGAGTTCTGGTAAACGAACCACATTATGTTTTTCTAAATGATACGCTGCCCTCTAGAACAAGGTGTGGAGAGATAGATAATGGACAGTAACAAATCTTAAGAGATGGTCACTCAATTTTAGCGTTAACTAAATGGATACAAAAGTCACAGTCAATTAGGAGTGACTATGAATGAGCATTGTCTGATTATTGAAACCAAATGCATTCTTGTGGGTAGACGTATAGGGAGTGAATGCTCAACAAATTGCTTTATAGGCATGATCCACTGTCAGAATTGTAAGCACTCTAAGAATCAGAATGCCAAGTTCAAGAAACCTTGTTTGATACTTCACAACAAGCCCAAACTAATTATTTGCTAGAGCACAAACCAGCTTTCCAAATCCCTGCTCTTCTTCCCAACACCTTGAGATTATGGAACCAAACAGCAAGATCGGTGGTTCAAACCCACCAATCACTTTGAGGGGAAAAAGCTAAAGCCATATGCGACAGTGAAGATTTCCAGTCTCAGAAACCCTATGGAGCCATTTAACAAGTCCTGTAGAGTCCCCGTGAGGAGGTATCGACTGGATGGCAATGAGCTTGGCTTGGACTCCCCAATTTTTTAACAAAGTCATCCTTGGAACTCCTCTGTCGGCCCCACGATGAGAGCTCTTGGCACTTCCTGTCACTGCAGATGAATCCCAGTCACATTAAGTTTTCATCTTGTATATGTGCCTTCTTTTGTTGACCTTTCAGACGAGGTAAACAAGACCAGGGGGGACAGCTCAGAAATGTGCATTGTGGTTAAGAGAAGGAAATTGGCAGCCTTAAGTTTGCTGATCCAACACAGAGCAGTGCTTCGTTGGGCATATTCATCACCCATGCTGGACTCTTCATTGGGTGGGCTACCTTCTTTTAGACCTCGCCCACGCCATTGCCTGCTTCTAACTGTCCGCTCCATGACGTCAACGGAGACAAGTCATCGTATTCAAGAGTCGCTTAGCTTTATTGGGTTTGGTATTTCTTGACTGATTTATTCCTGATCAGAAGTTGATGTCCTGGATACATTCCAAAATTGCATTATTTTTCCAAAATCACCATTCTCCCCCCCCCCTCCCCGCCAGCCCCCGCTGCCTCATAATTTCAGAGAGAAAACCCAGAAATCGCATTTTGTTGTTATTGTTTATTCTAATTTTCTCCTATTCATCAGGCTTGATAATACAAAAATGGAATATTTTACTTAATGTTCTTTTCTCCATTTAAACAGTTCTTCCAGGGGAAAAAAATCACAAAGTAACCGGGTCACAAATATATAAAATCTGTATTTTTCTTTTTTTGCTTGTTTGTTCCCCCTCACCTCACCCCCAAGAATTCCTCTAGTCCCTCGAATAGCCATTTCTCCAGAAGCAGCAATGTCCAAAACAAAAGGAAAAACCATACTGAAGGGAAAGATCGATAGCTCACTAGAAAATATAGAGTTGAACCTTGAAGCAGATGAGAAGTTGGTAATGGACACCTGGCAGCAGGCTTCTTCAACAATATCCAGCATGGTAAGAAGTGCTTATTACATTTCCTTTATGTAATGCCCATCCATAAATTCCAATGTTGCCAATATGCTATCAAATGGGAAATTTGTAAAATACCTGTAGGCATCACATAAATCTAAACCTTCAAATTTTTTTTCTGAAAGCAATAATTCAATGAACAAATACGTGATTTTAAAAAAGGAGTGAACCAACACTTAAGAGTATTTTCTATGCTGGTCTTGGGTTCAAAGTACAGGGGCCAAGAGAGTCTCCCAGAGAACTTGGATGAGGTTGGCCAAGCATAAGACAATAGCTTACACCCCTTTTTTCTAAAGGAGTAAATGGTACTCCGCCCAGGTCATCTTTGCCATCTGAGAACGAGGTCCAGTGTGACTATGGCTTCTATTTTTCCCCAAAAAAACACTAGACATCCAGATTTTTATTTTCAAATATGAGATGAGAAGTCTCAGTGAAAACAGATTGCAAAAGTTCTGGGCCGAGCAAAAGAAATCACACATTGGCCCTCTAGGCCTCTCTGTTATTTAAGTTGTCCATGAGGTATGTATTTGTCTGTTCTTTCCAGTGGCTAACCAAGGGTTTGGAGTGGTGAAGGAAATCGCCCACGCTCACCCATCAGATGGGAATTGAACATAGGTCCATATAACTTCAAAGTGCATGCCTTTTTCACTGACCACACACTCCTTGGGAGGTGAAGAGACACTGTCCCTGCCTATAAGGAGCTTGTCTATAACCCAAAGGGTTATGTAACCCAAGCTGAGGGGTTCACCCCACACAACAGACAAATAGAGTTTAACTAGAACACCACGGTTTATCCTCCTGATATGGAGTCTGCCAACTGGCATATGTATTTGTTCTGGAGGAAGTCATCTTTGCAATTGCTCCAAATAGCCCCTTCAGACAGAAAGGAGTTTCAACTTCCCAAAAACGTTTGTGAAAAAGCGATAGAAGGGTGGTTGCGTCACAAAGCTCACAGCAAACAATAGAAATGTCTACCTTGGTATTTCTTGCCTCCTTTCTTGGCCGCTCAGCCTCTGACCTCTCACACAGCAGACTCCTGTCTCCTTTCTCTCCTGTTGCTTCTCCTCACCCAGTCCTTTCCTTCCCTCAGAACTACCTGTAACCCCTCAAAAACCTACAGCTCTTACCGAGCCCATTAAAATGGGATTGTGTTCAAATATTGCTGTATTCGAAAGACCGTCACATAGCCCACCATGAGCACAGGTGACACAATCCTGACGAAGCTACATGAGTTCAGCCAAATCACCTGAGCTCTCTGGGACTTCCTTTCCATATCCCTGTTCTGAGGGAGGGGAACCTTCTAGCTCTCCCTTCCTGAAAGGTGAAAGGATCAAGAGAAATATGCTATATGGAAAGGTTTTAGAAATTATAAAGATGATAAGTTAAAAATTTTTATTTAAAATACCACAATCACAGGGAAGGAAAGGGGGTGGTTGTCAGGTGCCCTCAAGTCTGCTGTGACCCACGGAGACTGCACACCACTGCCGAGTCACGGGCCAGCCTCCCAATGGTTCCTATTCCTGAGCCCGTGACTGCAGCCACTATGTCAATCCATCTCCTCGAGGGCAGAGGAGGAAGGAAGGCTTACTAAATAATGATTTGATGTTACTAATGGTTATTTTTTTACCCTCTTTTATAGTTTCTAATAGACCTTTTTGACTATGGTGGTCAGGTAACCTGACCTTTGGATTCCAGATGAAGCAGGAGAGATGTTGTCCATCTTTGCCAGGAAAACAGTGCAATTTCAATGTGGGCACCTTAACCTCAGTTTTGTTCTACATAGCAGCTTTCCCCAGCGCTAATTATTTAGCATTAGCATTCTCTCTTAATTCCTCACAAAACTCTCTTCTAATGAGCAGGTATGAAATGATTTAGAAGAAACAAGTGCTGTTTTACACCCACAATGTCAAGGCATTATTTCTCTCCCACCTTGTAAGCAACGTTGCTGGGTGTATTTTTGAATTGTGTTAATTTTTGAAAGAAACCCAGAGGTCTCTGAGGCAGGTGGCCCAGCAAAATGAAGATGATGGTAATTATCCTCATCCTCATCGCCATCACAAGGTTGTTTACAAAACCGAAAACTGCAATTTTAAGGGAAATTGCTAACTTGTGTTTTGCAAGCACTGATTCAAAAATGAATTACTTGCAATTTAGGAGAGAATGTTAACAAGTCTGCCTTCAGCTTTACCGAGAACTTGCAAGTCTAGTATATAACACGAGCTCCATTTGAATCAAAAGGTCATCTTGTAGAAAGCTAGTTTCCTCTTGGAAGCCTTTCTCTGTCCCTCCCGGGCTCTGCTTGGGATTAGGGCAGGTGTGGACACCTTTCGGAAAGGATGATTATTATTATCAAAGAAATGCCATCAGCTAATAAGCATTCGTTTCGGGGCATCCTCTGTAAGTTTAGCATGCGTGCTGGACACAAATACAGAGAATACAAGAAGCAGGACGGGCTCGACTCTGGGCACTGTAAAAGCCCAGTTAGAGGTCCTGGTAAGCTTTAAACATTCCTAGAGCAGTTGGCGACAATGACGAGCTGGTCCAAGAGACATCAACTATGGCGAGAATTCAGAGGCAATATTAACTTATCTCTTTGACCTGTAGAGCTGTAAGCTTCTGAAAGGCAGAACTTGTGACGTAGTCATCCTTCACCTCTATCAATCATTCACCTCTATCAATCATTCACCTCTATTATCTACCTCCTTTTCTTAGTGTTCCTTCACTCCATGAACCCAGAATAACACCAGGACACAACCCCTCATTTCTTCATCAGTTTTGTAATGAAGTTTTAGCTTAGTGGATTAACAGTTTGCACATATATATAGATTGTATACAAAGCAAAACTCACTGTGATCTAGCCAATTGCAGCAATATTCAGACTCCATAGGACGAAGCAGCACCGCCCCTGCGGGTTTGTGAGACTGTAAATCTTTTCAGGCTTTGGAAGCCTCAATCCTTCTCTCCCAGAGCAGCTAGTGATTTCCAACTGCTGACTTTGGGGTGAGCAGCCCAAGAAGTAACCCCTACACCACCAGGGCTCCTCAATAGAGCATGTGCTCGCAACAATTGGTTCTGGCGAAAGAAGAGTGCAAGACAATAATAATAATAATCTTACTCTTTTTACATAAGAAGAACAGATATACATCAGTGCATAAACATATACACACCGACTTCTCATTTAATGACCTGGTTAAATTACAAAGACCAGGTCATTACGTGAATACAGGTAGTATGCACCATTGGATAACATATCAAATCACAAGATGAATGGTGGCTATATCTTTATAGAACTGCCAAATTTCATCATCACATACCTGAGAATCATAGCCCAGCCATGAAAATCATAGTCCAGACCAAACCACTGAGATGCCTGGCCCATCATCTATCACAGCCAGCACTACTCTAAACTAACCTTGCACCCTAATGTTTGCTATTGCCAGATGTACATTGTTAATGTGAAAAATAGTCAAGTAGTAGTTTTTGGTTTTGTTTTTTATTGCTGACGTATGTCCAAAATTTTGACTAATAATCGAGTCAATAAAAGAGGAGTATAGTATATCTGCAGAATAGAATTTTCACAGGACACAGAGTGATCAGGCAATACACTTTGTAAGATGTAAATAACGAAAAAAAATAGTTGAGAATCGCTGGCATAGGGAAGTAGAGAGAATAAACCCATATGGATCTGAGCTTTCAAAAGAGGAATGCTTGCATTACCACAGAGCTATGACCCACTGATGGAAATGCAAGGAGCCATTAGGGAATGCAAGGGTGTCTTGTGTCAGGACGGGAGAGAGTGAGCTGCCTTCACACAGATGGCTGTGGGGAAGCTGATGTTGGGAGAGAGCCAAGCTTCCATTTAAGCAATAAATCAGACTGTGGATTCTGGTAAAGACTGGTTATTTCCAGGGGAATGAAGTTTCAATGAGATCTGGCTATGACTAAATCTAAGTGGTTATCATATTTCACCCATGCTGCATTAACTGATAGATTGCTATTACACAATCAGGTAGCTGCTGAAGTTCATCAGAAGCTCATGGAGGAAGAAAAAGAAAGCCAGCAAGTAGAAGCAAGAGAGAAATCTGCTCAGACAAGTGGGGCCAAAAAACCCAAAAAGGAACCACCCAAGAAACAAAAAGCTGTTGACAAGAAACCTAAAGGTATAGATGCTTTCAGCACCCACCACCATTGATGCTTTGATGGCACCTTGGTATAAACAAGTACTTAACCCAATACAGGGGCCACCGAGAAGCCACAGGGTTGAAATCAGGACTTCAAGCCAGTTCTTCCTAGTTCAGTCATGGCTCAAGAAGAGAAATCAGCACAGACCCAATTTTGTGAAATGTGTATCAGAATGATAGCTGGAATGGGAAAAATCACAGGTGATATCTGCTGGAAATGTAATCTCCCTCTTAGAAAACAAAAGCAGTATCCACTACTGCATAGCAATCAGACTTCTTGGTAGGCAGAGTTGAAACAATCGTGCCCTATTCAAAGATAGCAGCTCACCTCTCTGCTCCGAATGTGTGTCAGTCACTGAAGTTGTGACAATAATCCAGTGTCCTGCATCAGGCTCCTGAAAGCCTCTTTCGAGTCTTCTATCCAGTGCCTCAACCCATGATATTTTACCTGTCCCCGTATACCCACATTTTATGAATTCCAGTTGGTTCTGAATTCACTGCTTCTGCCAGACTGATACAGCTGTCCTTTGCAGCCTCATTGAAATACAGGGCCCAGGCTTCTCTGAGTCTGTCATGTTAATTGGTAAATCATATTGCATATCACTCCCACCCAACTTGTATATCCAAATATCTAGGTATATCCAGATAGAACACACTTCAAAGATAGTTTTGAACACGCTAAAGGAACACTAACTTGAGACCATGTAACTGGAAGATGATGTTCAAATTTGTTGCCACAGAGAAATTTGCAAGTAAGTCTTTTTAATTCATTCTTTCTTGGTGGCTTCTCTCCTACATCTCTGCCTAGAGGCATGGTGGAAGAGAAATTAAATAAAGCTCAAATCAAGAGACTCTTCCACCCCCAATTACCTTAGGGACCGATCTGACCCATATATTCCCTTCTCTTCTAAATGCTTCCATTGTTCCATTTTTGAAGTGACCTGAGGCAGAAAAGGACGAGAAGAAAGGACCTCACTCGTCAACCATGCATGTATTCATTAGAAATCTGCTTTGTGAGATACGCTATGATGGGCACTAAGGTCACAATCATCGTCACCATTCGCCATTGAGTGGACTCCAACTCTTGGCAGCCCCATGTGTGTCAAAGTAGACTCATGTCCCATAGCGCTTTCCGTGGCTGCTTTATCAGAGGTATCTATACCCCCGAGTCCTTTCCCCCCACTGCCTCTGAGGGGACTGGAGCTGCCAGCCTTTCACTTTGCAGCAGAGGGCACTAACCATTAAGAGACTCCTTAGTGAATACCAATATTAATAGTAACATTTACCAAAGATCAATAAAACAAACAAAAGTCGTGGCCACCCTCTAGAGTCAGAAATAAACATTTGACCAATCATTGTTCTTTCATAGGAAAGTAAACAAGGTAAAAGTGACCTTGGTAGCAAGGTCACTTCCTTCCAGCTGAAGCAATAGAGAAAGGCTTCCCGGATGTTGTATGCCAGAAGCAATCAAACTCCTTGGTGGGCTGAGTCGAAACAATGGTGCAGCACAGAACGGATAGTGGGGTTTACCGAGACAAAGTGCTGGAAAGAAGGGAACTGAGAGGTTGGTGACACTTGAAGCAGAGGGGAGAATAGAACAGCAGCAAAGAACATTAGTACATCTCGGATGCTAGTGATAAAACGAATACGCAGCATTGGAGGGAAATACTTCAGTGTACCTCAATGGAATCACTGACCATAGCCAACCCCTTCATTTTACAGATGGTAAACAACAGAAATCCAAAGAAATTAAACTCTTTCATCCATTTATTATTGGAATGAGTGTATTTTACCATGATTTACTTCTTTACCTTTATGTCTATTTTTTTTTTCATTTTTATTGACACCTAATCCATATACCATATAATTCAATAGTCTGATGGTTCAATCATATCAAGAAGAATTGTGCAATCATTGCCACAATTTTAGAACATCACCACCACCACCACCACCACCCCCACGGTTGACTCACTTTTAAACTGAGTTGTGTAATCACAATCCATTCTAGTGGTCCTCCCCCTTCCTGCCTTCGTTTACTCCCCAAATCCCTTTACCTTCATCCTAACCCTACAGCCCCTTACAGCAGTTATTGTCTCTATGCATCCACTCCTTCTGTGCTTCACAAACCGGGAAACAATAAAAAACAATAGAAACAATAAAAAAATAGAAATAAAGCAGTGAAGATAAAATAATAATAATATAAAGATAAAAATAATGAGTAAGGGGAAAAACACACCCTGAATGTTTAAAAAGCCAGGGAAGAAATTTTTGTCATGGAACACACTCATATGCACCTAGAACAAATTCAGGTTGGGTCAAAAGGGAGGTCAGCTGGCCAACTATCAAGTTTGATCCAGCATAATCAGGATTACAATGACCTGACAGTAAGGCAGTTCCACACCTTTACCTGTGGCTAGTAGGGTTCTGCCAGTGGCTTAATTAGTTACTCCGTAGATGGGTTTTGGGCTCCCATTGCTCTCCATAGACGTCTCCCAATTAGATGTTTATCATTTTAGCTCTGATACTTTTCCCTTTGTCATATTTGAATTTTGTTATTGTCATTTTTGTTTCACACAAGCTAATGTGCTTCTTCCATGTGGACTTAGTTGATTCTGAGGTTAGATGGCTGCTTGTTTAAGTACAAGCCTTTAAGATCCCAGACACTATTCTGATTGATAGCCGGGCACCATCTACTTTTGTCATCATACTTTGCTGTAGCACCCATATCTTCAGTGATCATTTCATGAAGGTGAGTATTGAGTAGGGCCATGTATTCAGAACTAACTGTTCCTGGATTGAGGCTAGAGATAAGCAGGAGCCTGGAATCCATCTACATGCCCATGGGATATGCACGACTCACGTTTACTTTGGTGGCCATAATATGACCGAATCAAAACCCCATAAGAGCAATTCCACCAATAATAGCAATAAACACACAGGCAAACAAAGAGAAAAAATTAAGGGGGAATAAAAAAGCTGAAGGCAGAGTACAAAAAACCATAGAAGCAAAACAGTGCAACATTGTCAATCTTCCCTCTAGGGTATAAGGCAATTGAGCTGATAACATCAGCCCTGCAGACATTTCCACCTTGAGCAGCAACCCACAAGTTGTTGCCCTACACAGTCTGATCTCCCAATGGGTTGTACTCTGTATGGGAATTGGTGCCAGGGGGCAGGTGGATCAATTCTTCCGAATGCAGACCCCTGCCCAGCAGATCAAAACCTGTCATGTCACTGTAAGGTGGGCATCAAGGTACTAAATATATGTTGATGCTGGGTCCCTTTCCATTGGACCAACCAAGCCGGGGGTTCCCCACCTAGATCCAAAGACCACGCCTCTCTGTTAAGTCCTTCTGTTGTAGTCCCTGAATGCCAGGCTGCCTGCAATGTCAGCTTCCACGATCATCACGGTGCTTAGTCCATGGCGTGGTTCACCGAAGGTTGGGTAGAAACGTATTCGTAGTGTCTACTCAGAAAAATTAAATCTAGCCATTGTCCCCATAGGTTCCCTAAAATCATTGTTTAGCGTCCCCTCCTGATGTGAGGACTTTGATGTCTTCGTCACAAGATTACAAACACCTTGAAGTCAGACTCTCAAGAAAGATATTGTTGAACTGACCAGGATGTCATAAACCAGGTCTCACCCCTGGGATCATCTCGTGATCATTTCCAACATCAACTCCTCAGGCAAATGTTTGACAAGTTCTTATTTTCTAATTCTCTTATGTCAGCGGTTCCCAACCTGTGGGTCATGACCCCTTTGAGGGGTCGAACGACTCTTTCACAGGGGTCACCACATTCATAACAGTAGCAAAATTACAGTTGTGATGTAGCAATGAAAATAATTTTGTGGTGGTGGGGGGTCACCATAACATGGGGAACTGTATTAAAGGGTCGCAGCAGTAGGAAGGTTAAGAGCCACTGTCTTATGTCATCATTAATGTGCTTGTACTGCAGCACTGATTAACATAATTAGGTAGGCTACAGGCTCATAAATATGAATCATATTTTGGTCATATCTTTCTGGGGCTGCTCTCTGACTTCTTCCTGGTGGGGACCTGAGAGAAACTGATCATAACAAGCCATCTTCTGCCAGTGGCTTATGACATCTACTCTACATTGGGTTTGGCTAACTCCATAACCCTCTCTTTGCACTTTCTGCTACCTCCTTTCTCCCTTATTCTAACAAACAGGGTACTCTCATTAGAGATAAGATACCACCTGGAGAGGCTCAAGGTAGGACTATCAGTATTTTACCACTCACTGTGACAAACCAGGGTTTCTACTTTCCAAATAACTATGGTTGGATAACTCTATAGACATTCTACCCATTTGGTCCAAGGATGGTGTGTGCAAGCACTTATGTGTTGGCCGTTTACTTAGCATGTTTCATTACCCTTTCAGGCAAATCACCACCTGCTGCAGAAACCTCTCCTGTAGTACCCACAACCCCAGAGGAAATGGCTGAAATAGAAAGGAGAAATGAACTGAGACTCAAAATAAAGGAAGAACATTTGACTGCCCTGCAATTTGAAGGTAACAGTTAGGGGGTGAAAATTAAGATGGTGTTTTCGGTACAAAAATAGAGCCATAAGAAAATAGCCCACAACGATCTCACCAGTTGCCTCAGACGATGTCTATAGATCATAAAGCAAACAGAAAAGGATAATGCTTTGGTTGAATTGTTGTCATATGACTATACAGGGGCCCGCGCTAGACTTGACAGACAGATTCACAGATTTAATAGTCAGACAGGCTGGCATCCGCCAGTAGCAGTCCCAATTTGCCTGTCTGCCAGGATCTTGAAAAGACGCCAAGAGAACTTGGAAAGGTTTTAAGAGAGGACATCAGTAATTAAAATCTCAAACAATAGAAACAAAGAGAGAATGCTAGGGGACTGGTGGGATTTTTTCCAGGTCCCAAAAGGGGTTGGAGCTACCTAATGTAAATGGTTTTATATTATAGTAATCATTTCAAGATCAGAATGTCTGAAAGTGGGTTCTTGGAAGTAATAGTCATAGAAGGGAGAATGGTGCATTTATAATGGTCAAGGGTTTTCCTCTCTGTAAATAGCAATGCATAGGCATTCTAGTTTATGTATCGTAGCATGCCGGGGATAACTTTGTGAAGAATGTCATTTCCAGAACACTTCATTGTGTTCATGTGGAACTTGTACATGTACCAACAGGCAGCCATTCTGAAGGGTTTCAAATCAGGAAAGACGTGTGCCAGGGTTGTATCCTTTCAATATTTATTCCATCTGTCTGCTGAGCTAGTAATCCTAGAAAGTGGGCCTTATGAGCATAGCTGGAGGAAGACTCATTCACAGCCTCAGTATGCAGATGACCCAACCTTACTTGCTGAATGCAACGAGAACATGCAGCCTGCATTGATGACGATCGAAGATGACCGGCTCCAAGATGGGTTACTCCTCTGCGCAGTGGAAACAAACATCCCGCTCCCCCCCCCCACTGGACTCGTAGACCATGTCACGAAAAGATGGAAGTGGTCATGCATGTCATTTCACTGGGCTCCACAATCAGTGCCCATGGAAGCATCAGTCAGGAAATTAAGCGACATTACTTATTGGACTGGCCTGCTACAGAAGGCCATTTTGAAGTGTGAAAGAGCAAAGCGGCCCCTTTGAGGAATATGGTTTGGGTGACCTGAGACACGGTATTTTTCAGTCACTTCATATGCCTGTGGGAGCTGGAAAATGAATAAAGAAGACTGGAGCAGAATGGATACATCTGGATTATGGAGTTGGTGACGAATCCTGGCAATATGGTGGAGCGCTAGAATAACAAACATGTCCGCGAAGCGGCCAAGTTAGATTGCAGTCATGATGGTGTGACTTCGCCTCATGTACCGTGGACTTGTTATCAGGAGAGACCAGTTCCTGAAAAAGGCCAGCATGCTTGGTTCCGTTGTGCAGATGGTCAGAAGGAATGGGAACCAGCCCAAAGTCCCCTAACCACATGCTGGTATCGTAAAGTAAATGCGCCTCCTTCAACTTCACTGACGGAAGCACAATCAGTTTGAAATCAAATTCAATCTACCAGAAAACGAATGTACATATAACACATTAAAAATCTCTTTTTCTAACTTTCAAAACAGAGATAGGCACGCAGTTTCGACTTGAATTGATAAAGACAAAAACATTGGCTTTCCTTGAGGATCTCGTGACAAAGGTGGTGGACGTCTATAAACTCATGGAAAGGTGGATCGGTGAGAGGTACCTGGGTGAGATGGCCAGGTAATAGGCTTCATGGTTTTTAGCAATCGGCCTTGTTAATTCTGGAGTAGCAAAACTGTTAGACTATTAAAGTATTCACGGATGTAAACTTACAAATATAAATCGTAGCCATTCTGGAGATCACAGATGTGAACAGCAGCCATAGCATTATTATCCTGGTTTTTGTTGAATCTTTTCCAACCATAAAATTCTTCCTCTGCATGCTCCCCTCAAAAGAGTAGAAATATCCCTTGACTGAGAGCAATTCTAGATAAATAGTTATTAAATATGCCATCAGTTACTCATCCTCATCACAGATGAAAATAGATCTCTCTGCTTAGATTCGATGGCTGGCATCCACATGGATATCAAGTGGAAAAGGTTCTTATTTTTATCATATGTACTCAGATTTATACTGTATCTATTATTGATGCTCTGCATATGTATCTCTCTATGAAACTGTGGATACTCTCAGCACCACAACAAAGTAAAACCTAGGGATTTGGGGATTATGCTTTCCCTTATTATAAACGGAAACTCTGGCGATACAAAACATAGCAAACAGCTATCACATAGCTTTGAATAGCAAATCCTTCCCCCCTCTCCCCCATTTCCCTGGCATTTCCCCGCCTCCCTTTCTTGAAACAATGATTAGAAATCCATTCAATAACTGAGTTTGGTTTGGTTTGGTTTCTGGAGTCCATAACCCTTGGTTACCATCCACCAGGTGGCGCATACCTATTGTAAAATCCCAAGGATGGTTGAAGTCTACTTACGTAGTCCCGCCTTCCTCCTGTTCTTAAATTAGTAACTATCTAATGCCCTGCCCCACAGTCCCCAGCACAAGGACACGTCATGCTTGCCCTAATTAGATAATACGTGCTGTCTGAACACTCACAAAGGCAGCATGCTGGGATTGAAGTCAAAGGTAGCTTTTAAAAGAAATCACCAAGCCCTATTTTTCACTTTCAGTGTATGAATAATTTAATGTTCCTGGATGATATAGAAGCATGTTAAATATGTTAATATGTTTTTTCCCATGAGAATCAATCTTTTCTTGTATAAACAAGAGTCTTCAACACAGTGCTATTTGACTCATATGGACACAAGTAAAATTGATGTCCATCCTTATTCGTATATCTTTGGGGTCTTTAAAATGTTATTTCAGTAATTAGGGCCACAACAATCATTGTCTGTACAGTTTGAAGTCCTTCCTATTAACAACCCTAAGATAAGGAAATGGTGTGTTTATTGTCTTCTCTGCTAAAAAATAAAACAACAAAGTTCAGAGAGTTTAAGCAATGCCCCAGGACCTATCCCTAGAGAATGTCCTAGAATGAGAGGTCAGCTTCTAGCAGTCATTCTACTACAGCACAGGGGTTCCCCACTATCAATGCATACTGCTGTTACAGCCACAGTCTCTGGTTAACGCCTTTTCCTTTTTGTGGAGCAAAGCAGCTTCAATGGATTTTGTGCATCAGAGCCCATTCTGAGACAAAACTGTGTCTTAGATAACATCAAACTCTTTAGCATAAAAAGAAAGAAGAAAAAGGAAAAATAAACATCTCAGTGTCACCGAGTTGATTCCAACTCAGACCGATCCTCTAGGACAGAGTAGAACTGTCCCTGTGGGTTTATGAAGCTATAAATCTTCATGCGAATAGAAAGCCTCATCTTTCTCCCTCAGAGTGGCTGGTGGCTTCGAACTGCCACCAGGCCTCCTTCTGTGACATAAATTCAGAGAAAATCCACTCTTCTAAAACACTTTAACAAATTTGATTCATTCTTTGATGTATCCCAGTCCCAACTAAACATTTATTCCAACAGCGAGCAGTATGCTACCAGTAACTCTGATCTCTAGGAGCCCAAGTGGTAAAGTGGGTCACCCACTGGGCTGCTAATGACAAGGCCAGCAACACAAACCCACCCCCCACGCTGTGGGAGAAAGAGGACACTTTCTGCCTCATTTTGGTCAGATAGTTTCTGACTTTTACAGTCTCAGATAACCACAGGGCAGATTTCTCTGTCCTACAGGGCAGCTGTGAGTCCAAATCAACTCAGTGGAAGTGAGTTTGTTTTCTGTTGTCTAACCTTATTCTAGTGTATATGGAGAATAAAATAGATCCCTGACATAACCGTGCACAAATAGTAAAAAATGTCCTCATGATGAATCCCATCTGACCACTGCCCAAGGATATGAATTGCCTGGCTATCAGGCTGAGTGCATTGGAAGTGGATTATTGCAGTGTAGTTCAGTTAAATTTAGCACCCCATAGTTTGATCTCCCTTTGACCCATTTTAAATTTGTTCTCATTTTTAATATTTGCTGCTTTCTTTCTGATAGA